TTCTTACGTGGCCACCGCTACAAAATAGCCTTCCATGTCCTCCTATGATGCGGTTCATAGGCCAAGCGGATGACAACTATTACATGGTACAAGGGGGTGATGTCACTGGTCCCTCGGCCATTCTACCTTGCTAAAATGCTGGCAATACCAAGCCCCGGCCATGTATTAAATTGAAGCAGATCAAAACCCAATCACTTGGTTTAAAGCAGATCAGGAGCTGAACCCTGGGCAAAGGTAAAACATACCCATGAAATACATATACGTGAGCTGTTTTAGCTGCCAGAAGATTTGTATTCCTGTCCATACAGTCTTGAGATTTACCAGATCTGACACACAGCACAACGTCTGGTAGGACAGGAGACCTGTTTTTTTCACTGCTGCAGTTCAGTAACACTCATTAGGTAGGGTTGCCACCTTTTCTTCAAGAGAAACCCGAACGCTCTAGCACCCGCATGGCAATTTTTTTTTTTTTTAGAATATAGAGGGGGGAACGAGGAGAGAGCGAGGAGAGGGTGGGCAGGAGACCCACTATATAGGACTACAAATCCCAGCAATACATTGTGCAGCACTCAGGAGGGGCTGTGCGGCACTCAGGAGGGGCTGTACGACTATCAGGTAGGGGCTGTACGACTATAAGGTAGGGGCTGTACGACTATCAGGTAGGGGCTGTACGACTATCAGGTAGGGGCTGTACGACTATCAGGTAGGGGCTGTACGACTATCAGGGCGCTCTGGGCTATGGTGTTTCACCAGGGGTACACAGGCGGGCAGCGCGGTGTCAGCGAACCAGAGGAGGAGAAGGACGAGGAGGAGCAGCAATCACAAATGCGGCTCCCGGGGTCCTCGGCAAGTGCGATCTCGGGCAGCCGCATCTGCCTGAAACCCGGATCTTCCTCTGAGCTGCGGGTGCCTGTAAACAGGCACGGGCTGCCCGCAGCTCAGAGGAAGATCCGGTTTCAGGCTGATGTGGCTGCCCGAGATCGCACTTGCCGAGGACCCCGGCAGCCGAATCTGCAGACAATTTAAAGTGCTGGTGTCGGCACTGAGTATCTTGTGCCCGGGTGCTAGCTGGCTGGACACAAAAGACTCCAAAGCCAGATAGGTGGCAACCCTACTCATAGGTCTCCTCCCCGGTGATTGGACAATAAAAGGAAAAATCAGCAGTCTGATGAGCTTAGCGGTCCTTCATTCTGCTGCCTAGTTCTATGAGTATGCACTGCAGCACAACTGACTTGCTCCTTGTGCGGCTTCTCCCTCCCTCTGCCAGAGCTCTGCTGTAGAGGAATTGCTAGAGGCTGATACTGAGTCCCATGCAGGTACTTACACCTCTTGCCTTTAAAGAATACATTTAATGATCTATTATATAAAGCAAATAATACCCTTGCAGTGGAAGCATTTTTGCCTAAGGGTAGAGGAATAAGGTGCAATACTTACCATACCCTGTATCTGTGTGACCGATCCCCAGAAGCCTCTTCTCTAAGGCAATCTGGGTCGCGGTTGCATGTTTACCTCCTCACATACAATGCAGGAATACCAGTCCTGTATTGTATGTAATGACACCGATGGACTACCTGCAGCCCGGACCGTCAGGGAGAAATGGAGAGCGCCGGTAAAAGGAATAGGCTAAGTAATACAGCCTCTACTTCCTAGTGTCCAGATTCATCAAGCATTTAAAGTGGACCTTAACCCCCTTTGACTAAAAATCACATCAGCACACAGCTCTGCATACGGATATAAAATCATCTCACATTCATTAGCTTAAAGGAGAACTATGAGGGGTGTGCTTTTCACTCACCTCATAGTTCTAGCCGACCTGTGACAATGAGACTGTCACAGGTCGGCTCAGTAGATCGGGAGGTGAGCGAACACATACCGGGTTCGCTCACCTCTCGATCCTGTCACGGCTCTCTGCCGTGACAGGGGGAGGGGCTGGATTCCCCTCTCCCCGCTCCGATCTGCCAGCGCTGACTGGCAGAACGGACGGGGGAGGGGGCGGGTACAGCTGGCTCTGCCTCTAGATAGGCAGGGCCAGCTGTCACTCACGCAGCTGGGCGGATCCCGTCGTCTAAGTCGGGATCCGCTCCGGCGTCTCAGTATACCGCGAGCTGTAGCTCACGGTATACTGAGCTTAGGGTGACGGGAGGACGCTAGTTTGTGTCCTCCCGTTACCCTAAGGAGAATTATGGGGGAAAACACTGACCCCATAGTTCTCCTTTAACATACATTGTTTTATTTTCCTGGTCCACTTTGGCACAAATGATGTAATTGTGCCCAAGCATTGCCTCCTAGGACATGTGACCATGCACATAATTTCAGGGGAGGAAAATGCCTTTTTCAGAGCATTGCCGGGAAATCTCATCTGTAATCTCACAGGATCTCAGGGAAAGGCATTTTCCTCCCCTGAAATTATGTGCATGGTCACATGTCCTAGTCACATGTGCCAGAGTTCCAGGAAGTAAAGGGAGATATATGAATCTGCCCTTAGTAAACATGACCACTATCAGAAGAAATGGGAGGAAAAGAAAAATAAGGTATGTAAATAATAAAAAGCCGGCAATTATCTAGAAGTATCTGTTTGTGCCTTTGTTGTAATTTTGAAGAGAAGGTGGAAAGGTCCGCTTTAACCCTTGTAATATAAAAGGGGGAGGGCACTGCAATGGTGTATTTTTTTCCATTCTAGAGCTGGGATTTAATTAAGATCTATAATAATTGTGCATTTTATACATACCAGAAATTCATCTTAAATATGTTCATGTAATTCCAAAAACGGTTTTAGGATTTCATAATACCTTGTGATCCTGCCAGGAACTTTCACGTTCGAGCCATTATTTGGCACTCCTGCATTGTCACCATGTAACAAACACCCCTGATGAAGACTACACAGGGTGCATGTGAGTGAGAGAAAATGGCTACAAAAGGCCAAGTGGAGTTCAACAGCACTGAGATGCAAAACGAATAAAAAATTTAGAAAACTGTATTCTTCTTGAATCTTGGTGAACTTTGGGTATTTCTTCCAGATCTGTGCAGTGATCCAGTGTGAGACCTCCTGTAATAAAGGCCGCTCACTGCTGCTCTGTCTTCTTGTACAGGGTGACTGGTCTCGTCTCTGCCCCTCCTGTAAAAAAAGACCGGTCACTGCTGCTCGCTCTCTCTCTCTCTCTCTCCTTGTGCAGGGTGACTCATACTGTCTCCGCCCCCTCCTGTAATAAAGACCAGTTACTGCTGCTCTCTCTCATTGTGCAGGGTGACTGGTCATGTCTCCGCCCCCTCCTGTAGTATTCTGAAGGCAGCATGGGCTACCTCCCACAACTCTGCATGCTGCAAGATAATATCCAGGTTTGGTGCACACAAAGTGGATTTATCTCTTTTGGCTATAAAGGAATATATATCAATGAAAGTTTTTGTGCCCGGACTTCAGCCTCAAATAAAGCCATTTCCTCCCTGACAGGACTGCTAACTTTATCTAAAAATGTCAGTAGCAGGACTTCATTATGCTGGTGCTGCTGATGAATTGTCCTCATTGAGCCTAATGATAAGGATGGAATGTCAGGACTCACCATGTACACAGGACCGGGGAGCGCTCCTGTGCTCTGCTCACCTTTGTCCCCTTTGTTTGCTGTAAATATGCAGGATTCTTCTCTGGTTTAATTAACAAGGTCCCAGCCCCTCTGGCTCTCAGAGGATTAAGTGTCAGTAAACAGAGCAGAGCTGTTGTCAGTGACCAGATTTAGAAACACAATCTCTTCGAGAGATAGGACCTTCACAATACACAGATTTCCATAGGAAACGGATCCACTTCTCACTCGGCAAAGTTCCCTGACCCAACAGCGCGGCCGACATCCATGTCCTAAGTAACAGAGCCACCATTTGTATCCGGCAGTATGATGCTCATAACCCGACAACGCTGCCTTTCTTTTTACTGTAACCATAGACATTAGAGTACCTGCCACACTTATTTTGTAAGTGTAATTTAAATAAAATGTAATAGGGATTTCATTTATGTTGCAGTTTAGTCCGTACTTTTCCTTCTGAGCTTATTGGACGACAAAGCAAACTAAAGGTGTGGAAGATCAGATGCAGTCTAACCCCTAATGTGGGTATAAGGGTGTCAACCTGACAGATAAGAGTATATTTTAGTTGAGGTCCACTCCAAAAAAGGTCCACTCATTAAAATGGTCCACTCAAAAAAAAAGTTAGTGGAAGTCCGAAGGTGCAAGGATCGTCAATGGACTCCCTGATACTGTGGACTCCAGTAACTACTGGACTCCCCACTTTGGTCCACCCCAAAAGGTTAGTGCCCGTCTGAAGGTGCCGGGATCGTCAATGGACTCCCTGATACTGGGGCGTCCAGTCACTACTGGACTTCTTTATACTATTGATAAACGTTGAATTTTATTGTTTGGGCGATTGGAAGCCAGTGGAGTGATTGATAGAGGGGGGTTGCAGAAGTCTAATTCCTACCGGTCAGGCTTTCTGAACAGCCAAGAACTCTAAAAAAAGCAATACTTCTATTTAATGTAGATGTAAGCCCTAAATGGATGGCATGTAGTATGCCAATGCCCTGGCTATGAAATACTTAAATCTTTTTAAAATAAAATACTGTTTTATGGGGTTTTTTCACCCTTCGTTGCATCTCAGTGCTGTTGCTCTCCTCTAGCCTCTTTGAGCCTCTTCCAATCTACA